ACGGGGGGGGGGAGCTTGAGGCCACAGTTCGAAACTAGAGCAGCAGTATAAGCGGAGCTAGCAAAGATAACTGTTTCAATCAATAAGCTGGAGCGGATAGCGGTCTGCCTGCCAGTACTGCAAAATGGCGGATCAAGGTAGGAACGGAGAGAAGTGTGGGCCACGTGCCATCATCCTGGCGCGGTTGCTTCGGTTGTTGTGTGAAGAGGGAATTCTTGAGCCGTCCCGAAAGAGCCCGGTAGTGCGATTCCAACACCCCGACAAGCTGCAGGTGAGTTTCACTGTAATTATTACAGTGTGGTCCATGGAGCCTTGTTAGATCGAAGGTTGCCATTGAATGGTTAATTCTCCTGTATCGATGCCCCAAATTCAATCCTCTGCCCGTAAACACTGACAGGTTTTTGTAGTATTTCAAAGCAATCACAAGGAAACCCAGGGCAAGCACCTTGAAACAGACCACGACAACTTTTTCTACAACCGCCGTGGCTTATTCGCAATCAACCTGCCATATGACATAGTTCTTATGATATTTAACGTAGATGTTTCAACTGCAGAGGTTTAACGGGAAGTGATACAAAGATATTGTGAATGATATGTAGGTAAGGATTTGTAAAGAGGTGGTCGTGTTTAAGTTGTATTGTGGCATTCATCCTGAGAGAGAACACAAGAAGCCTCAATTAGTATAGTCAGTAACACACCTGAGGTTCTACCCCGGTACCTCCAATGTACCAACCTCCTCGGCCCTGGCATGTGCCATTTGTCCCCACATGATGTCAGCAGTTGATCCACAGTCGTATAGTAACCGAATAGGCAAGCATTCTTATTGCCAGGGGATGAGTTACATGCAAGATAACATACTACTGAATGCCGCTTTTTCACATATGCCGAATCACACAAAAGAAATACTGTGTACTGTAAATTGATATGGATGGCGGCGGCAGACGTTTCCTGTCACAGGATAACACATTGGCATTCGCCTGGAAGGTCTCAGGAAGGCTACAATGAATACTGAGACAAGACAGCGGGTTCTGATCCCGATGTTCCGGTTACACACCAGATACGTCACCCTGTAAGCTATACTGCTCCATGCCACACGCTTTCATCTCGCCCCTGAGACGGCAGTCTCTAGCCCTTCCCACGGTACCCACAAACTACGTGTATCTTGCATGGTATGACTTTATTTCGTAGCCCAGACCAGTGAATTAGCTTCTTTCGCAGTCACTAGGTATTTAAAAGTTAAGTTTTCATGGGCTGGACGACCGAGGGGTCGGAGTTGGTGTACCGGTAGGATCATGAATTTTCTCTTCTCCACGTCGTCCAGACCGGCTCTGGGGTACACCCAGAATCATATCCAATGGGTACCGGGGGCTCTTTCCCAAGAGTAAAACGATAGGGGCGTGAAGCTGACCACTCACCTCCAGCTAGTGACGAGACCAAGAAAATGTAGATCTATACATCCACTTCCCTATAAACCTTCATGGCGTAATGCCTAATTAATTAAACACGGGGACAACTTTACCTTTTACCTTATCTTCTGCAGTATATTTTATTTATTATCCTGTAAATACAGGCCTAATGGAGCAGAAGGTTCATTTACATATGCCATGTAACATAACACCAAACGTGTTAAAAGAGACGTGCGGTGATCGCCGGTGGGAGTTTAAACATTTTATTTTATTGAGTGCATTTCTACATTGCGAGTATTTTTTACGCAGTAGGTCAGTCATAGTATATATGAAACTCGACTATTTATCAAGGGCTGTGAGCTTTTGAAAACCTCTTCCTGGATAATTTAGTCAGTATAGTGATTAGGCTACGGGCTGGAATACCGACGTTTGATTCCCAACGGAGGCCACCACATCTAGTCTCGCCCTGGAGGCTAGCCAACCTATTCATAGGGCACAAGGGTTAGTTAGTTATTGGAGAGGGTGGGTTTCCCCATGCACTTAGACCTGTATTGATCCATTGTGCTTCCCTCTATGATTTCTACCAGTCTTTATATCCTACCGGTACTGATGCTTACCATCAGTACCGCCCAGCCAGCGAGACCGGCTCTACTAGCTGAGAGGTATCTATAATGCTTCCCCCATCTACCAGAGGTATTAGAGACTGCTGTTGGGCGGGAAACGTCCATGAATTTGGCTCCGTGACCTCCTTAGGAGATATGAGGTTCTTTTACGTGCCGTAAAGCTACGACACGGGACCCACGGCTTAAAGTCCCTCCCGGAGGACTTGTTCCCTGAATTTTTCCGCCCTTAAAAATTCGACGACCTCCGCCGGGTATTTGAACCCCGTACTACGAGTCATGAGGTAGGAACGTTACCTCTAGACTAGGGCACAAGGGTTACTTTCCCTGGGAGAAAGCGGGAGAGGCATGCACCACTCACCTTCATCTAGAGCCGAGATTAAGAATGTGTGAGGCTGCACTTGCACCCTCCCCATACGTCTTCATTAGCTTGGTGGCTACATAAGCCCCTGAACAGTCAGCAGCAACCACGTCATACATGAAGAGGTAACGTAACTACTACAGTTTCCTTCTTGGGCGTTGCGCTCGACTTGTTCCGTTACCTGTTACGTCAATCCACCGTTCAGCTACTGCGTGTGTACATGTGCATTCGGAATCAAATTAACGTGAAATTCTCGGAGGGGAATTAGCTAGACATTAAGAACATTAAGTTCAAAAATAACACTGACCATCCCCAACATATCAGATAATTTGAAAAAATACTAAATTAATGATAAAATTGTTAGAGAACAGTATTGCGATGCTTCTAATGACACACTCTAAATGTTTCATAGAACAGTCACGCTTTGCTTGCTTTTGTTTTAATTTCTGAGCTTAAGCAATCTCTCATCGTGTGAACAGAACAAAGGTTACAATTTAAGTTTTGAGGTTTCCACGGCGATGACTATGAAGAAAGTCGTCTTCTGGGTTTAGGCACCGTGTATTCTTCGTTTTGGCCGACGTTTCGGAGGAACGTAGCGCCTCCATCTTCAGAGCAGTTGAATGGCTTGGAATGCAGAGAACAGTAGCTGTAGTGATAGGATGTGAAAGGCGCTGAAAGCTGCTCTGAAGATGGAGGCGCTACGTTCCTCCGAAACGTCGGCCAAAACGAAGAATACACGGTGCCTAAACCCAGAAGACGACTTTCTTCAAAAGTTACAATTATTTATAGAAAAGAACTGAGAACAGTTATTAATTAGCAAAAGAACGGAGACAGTTACCTAGAAAGGAACTTTATGATTGTACCCATCACTTCGAGATTTATATAGAATGGAAGAAGCAGTAATGCACATGATGCTTTGAATACAAGCGTGTTGGAAGCCACTATTGGAACAAAACTGTGGATGGCAGGATAATATTGAAATTGAACTTTGGGAAATAACGAGTTCCTTTAATACTGTCAAGAGTTCGAGTGATGATAGACAGGATTTGGACTAATTATTGGATTTGTTGCTCGTAACTATACTTCGCAATCACTATCACACAAAGAGTAGTGTTCTCAGTCGCGGTGTTCACTGCTCTGCTTGGTAACATCTTCCAGTGTTGGAGGTTCCTCTGCTTCCGGACTCACGCCCTCGCAGGCTGGCGGTCATCTCATACCAGCCTCCTACTCTTCTAACTGCCGTCTCAAGTCTGACTCGTGAGTCAAAGTCACATTGCGACTGACGGTCAGTCAGTCAGTAAATCTTGGCGTCGAGCCCAATATGGGGCTCATTACCAGATATTAATTAATGTTTGATAGTTACGGTCTTGTTTTTGTGGGGCGCCCTCTCTGACGAGAGGACAGGTTTGTCTTTTGCATATGCTGCAGGCCCTTGCCAGCGCAGTCTTTCTCGGGTCCGAGGCCCTTGGGACTCGTGACCTTATTTTACTGTCTCAGATTTGGGACTTCCCTTTTTGTCGCCTCGTACGACTCGCAGGGTGCTCTGACTCGTAAGTTAAAGTTAAAGTTAAGGTTAAAGTAACATTCCAACTGACGGTCTATCAGTCAGTGAGTCTTGGTGTCGAGCCCCATCTGAGGCTCATGACCAGATATTAATTACTGTTTGACAGTTACGGTCTTATTTTTGTTGAGCGCCCTCTCTGACGAAAGGACGGGTCTGTTTTTTTGCATATGCTGTTGGTCCTTGCCAGCGCAGTCTTTCTTGGGTTCGAGTCCCTTGGGACACGCGACCATATTTCACTGTATCAGATTTGAGACTTCCCTTTTCGTCGCCTTGGCAGCTGGTCCTCGTTATATGGCCTCGGAACGGATCGCATAGGAAACATCGCTACCAACAGTTCAAAACGGAAAACACCGTTTTTCTCTTGTGTGTGCAATCTTTGTTAACACTGAAGAGTTGTTCACTGTCACGTAGCCTAGTAGCGGCTCTCTAGTAAGTTCCAGTGCATTAGAGTGCCGCCTTTCTCTCCTGCGTGAGGTGCAAAAATAAAGAGTAGGAAGTTGTACTGTTGTGAAGAGCACCCATTGCCAGATTCGATTTTTGCTGTTTTGCACATCTCATTGACTTTAACGTTCATTTTTCTCTCTCTCTCTCTCTCTCTCTCTCTCTCCTTCTCTTTCCTGTTGCTCTCACTTTGAAACAAAGGACATCCGTGAAACGCTTTGTTTCACTTGACTTTCTTAATCCTAAGACCGTCGGTAGGACTCTTCGGACGGGGGATCAGCCCATCGCAAGGCCTCTACCTACATGGGACGACATAAACACAGAGTAAACGCAGGCAGACATCCATGCCTTTAGCGGGATTCGAAACGACGATCCCCGCGTTCGAGCGAGCGCGCCTTAGACCGCGCAGCCATTGTGATCGACTAACGCTCATTTCCTGTAAGTAAAATTCTATCGTTTCAATCTAATTTCAGTACAGATATCACATTGACCAGCTTATTTAAATAGTTACAGGTAGAAAAATACGTGTAGATGCTAATATCTGTATTTTGTGCGACTGTTTAACTAATTTCTTGTACACTGAGCCCTCTATGAAAATTTTGATGAAACGTACTTTAGATGATATGTAAAATGTAAAGTTAAAGTTATCTTTGTGTTTAACTAATTAAGCAGCATTCCATGAAGACGTTTCGAGGAGTGGAGTTATAACTCCACTATTTTCAATTGTTTCTTGCATCCTGTTGTGTATTTAATCAATATTAGAGTCAATTTTACCGACCACACAACATATTTTTATTATTATTACACTACATGTTTCGACTTCAAGAGGTCATCCTCAGGTGTACGAACATAGTTGTATAATTACACGCAATCACATTCGTCTTTTCACTTATTCGATCCTGTATCTTATTCAGGCCCACGCTCAATAATATATCAAGCTCCTCTCACAAAACACAAGTTAAAATATTATTCTAAATTCCACTATTCTTGACCCCGGCAATACAGTGAAGTGAGTGGTCAGTTAGACAACGAGAAATGGCATGGTGTGTACGCTTCATTTACTGTTGCTAAAGTGATTCAGTCAAAGACATGTGACAGGCAGAACATTCAAAAGAACGAAACTCGCAAAGCTCTTGATTGAAATGGGAGACCAGAACATGTATACGTGAATACAATTAAAATGGATATTAGGGAAATCAATTTTAAGAACATGTGTGTTTCAAATGTGCGAAGAGAAATTGCTAAACAGACAGTTGCACTGTAGGACAAGATTTAAGCATAGGGTGGGAAAAATTACGTAATAATGAAAGTGGCATGCCGCTTGGTTAGGAGAAATAGGATATTAATAAATAATTCTGATAGATGGAGCCCTTGGAAAATAATCACTACGAAGACTGGGACAGACACGGAGAGAGAGTAACCGAAACGTCGCCCAGACCATAGTGTCGGAGCGTAGTATATATTGGGAAGGCTGGTGTAGTAAACGGTGGTAGCTTGACGTAAGGCGCTATCCTGGAATTTTCACAGAGGAACTGATGAAAACCCAGTACTTCTGAGTGTTGTATACAATCTTCAGAACCCTTTAGAATCTACTCGTAATTCTGCATAATTGTCTTACAGTTCTTTCACTCGTTACATTTTGTCCTTAAAACGCCGTTCATAATTCACGATGGACTATTGCAGCATTCGTTCTTTTAGCATGAAGAAAGCAGATAAGAACGCGAATTTCGCAGCTGGCGGGATTGTCGATCGCAGGACACATCGTAACTCATTCTGTAGAGACAAGAACAAACACAAGGTGAACAGTTATGCGATGGCTTACAAGGCAATGTGTCGTGTGACGCTGAGCTCTCCCCCGCTCCTACGAAAGGACGCTCCGAAAGTAATTCCTCCTACTTTATTATGTTGGCCCATGTCAGAGGCTGATGCTGGTGGTATGGCAGTAGAGGTTGAACCTTCCTGCTAATAGTTCGTAAGTTTTATTGCCGTGCGACAGAAAGCAGCAGAGGGGCAATCTGGTAAATTATTGTGTCTGACAAGAAGTGACTACGAAGCAGAGGTGTGTCATTGAATTACTCCATGCGGGTAAAATTGTACCCATTGGTATTCAGTGACGCTTGCTCGACCTTTACGGAGACCAGAAGAGTGGATATGAGCACATTGAGGCCGTGGTTTGTGCGTTTCAGCAGTGGCGACAGCGATGTGAGAGACAGACCACGTTCCAGGCGGCCCTTCACAGCCGTCAGCCTACGAAATGAAGAGCGCCACGATCAGCTCATCCGAGCGAATCGGCGGATTACGACCAGGGAACTGTGTACGGAGTTGAATGTCGGCTTCACTGCCTAGGAAACGGTGTTGGAAACGTTGGAATAACGCCAAGTTTGTGTCAAGTGGGTCCTACGAATTCTCACACAGGAACATGAAGATCACCGAATGCAAGTCTGTCAGGACCTCCTGAACCACTACGAAGGTGACGGTGACAGTTCTCTGTACCTCATCATCACCGATGACGAGATGTGGTGTCACCACTACGAGCCGGAATCAAAACGATAGTCCATGGAATGGCGACATGCGAATTCCCTATCAGAGTAAAGCTCCAGATGCAGCCATCAGTGGGTAAAGTGATGTGCACTGTCCTATGGGATAGGAAAGGCGTGGTCCTCCTGGAGTTCCTGGAACCCGGCCAAACCAACTTTGACCGCTACATCGCGGCGCTGACTAAGCAGAAGCAGAATTTCCAGAATCAGTAGAGAAGAAGATAACCTTTCTTCTGCAGCATGATAACGCCAGGCCCCACACCAGCTTCAAGGCTACAGGGCACATAGCAAAATTTAAGTAGGCTCTCCTATCACACCTACCATATACTCCATATTTGGCGGCTTCTGACTTCCATCTGTTCAAGCCAATGAAAGATGGACTACGCGTGCAACATTTTCCTGGCTACAACGCCGTCATTGCAGGTGTGAGAACGTGGGTCGCCTCTGCTGGTGCAGATTTTTATGAGCCCAGCATACGGACTCTTGTTCATCCCTGGCAAAAATGCGTAACCAATGGTGATGACTATGTGGAATGATCGTGTTTTTTAGCTGACAACTTGCTCTATCCAACGGCGTTATTGTGTACCCTACATCTTTGTAGTTTCAGTGGGAATAAATAGGAGGCATTATTTTCAGAGCCCCTTTGTATATTAGTTGCCTAAAATAAATGGAGGTTACTTTCCGAATAGCCCTTGTATTTGAAAACATGTTTATTCCATTGGAATATACTTTTTCTTTCTTGTCTCACAGGAAATTCTGAGCCTTGAACCAGAGGCACAGGGTGTACATATGAATGAGATTCTCCATCTATGTCATGATATTGTCAAGTACTCTGTGCAGACATGCCACCCACACTTCAAGAATCAGTTGTATGGTGGCATAGACCCTTATGGTTTGGCTGGCGCTTGGCTTGCAGAAGCCCTGAACACCAACATGTAAGCAAAAATTAGATCCTAGTTGTAATGAATCACAATGTAAAATAACAATTTCCTTGCACTGAATACAGCTGAATACTGTGTCAGTTGTGAAGTCACAGCTGAAAATTTCAAAATGTGCTGTCCTTTTGGACATATGTGTAACCACAGTCAGACGCAACACTTATTTTCGTCCTTCATATATCTTATTATAAAATGTTTCAGTCTCACTTGGCCATCAAATGTATACATGCTTGCTAAAATTGTTGCACTGTCATCTTAGTATGTTGCATGTGAACATATTGTTATTTTTAATAACAGAGTCTTTAAAATCCTTGAAGTTCACAAAAATTGCTGAATCAGCTTTGCTGGTGTTTTGTTTGTTGTGGTGGTATGTGGATATCAACTGCCTGCTGGGCTGGTCTTTCCTGTGAGTGCACAGATTATAATCTGACATCCACACACCATAGCAATAAACAAAACAAGCACCCTTGACAACCAGATGCAGCATGACTGAATCAGCAATTTTATGAACTTTTAAAGGTCTCATAATTAAAAAAAAACTATGTATTCATATGCTGCATATTAAGATGACAGTGCAACAATTTTAGTAAGAATGCACATATCTGACGGCTGTGTGAGGCTGAAACATGTTGTAATAAGATGTACTCGTATGAAAAACGAAAATAAATGTTGCATTAAGACATTGGTTGCATGTATGCATATACAGGGTTTGTCCGAAAAGTAATGTCAGTGAGTCGATTAAAGAACTTTTATGGATTAGATCGGTGCAACACATTAAAAGGCTTCAAAATAGGCTTCTTCTGCGTCGATACATCGATTCCAGCGAGATTTCTAGGCATCGAAGGCGTCATGGCAGGCGTCCTCCGGAAAGTCCTTCAGAGCCTTGGTGCAAGCCTCTTTGACTTCGTCAACTGTCCCAAAATGATGTCCTTTCATGGGAGTTTTCAAGCGCGGAAACAAAAAGAAGTCTGGGGAGCCACGTCAGGACTGTAGGGCGGCTGGGGAACCGTTGGCACCTTTGAATCGGTCAGGAAGCGGGTCACGAGGAAGGCGGTGTCGGCTGGCGCATTGTCATGGTGAAGTTTCCAATCGTCCGCGATGTCGGGCCGGATGCGATAAACCCTTCTTTTGGGTCTCTTTAGCACTTCCACGTAGAATTTGGCGTTGATGGTTGTACCATGTAGTACAAACTCACATTTTCGTCGGTGGTGCTTGTTGATGGCCGTCCAGCGCGGGCTTCATCGCCGACCTATTCACGGCCTTCTAAAAAGGCCTTGTGCCACCGGTAGACCTGACATTCCGACAAACAATCGTCACCGAAGGCCGTCTTTATCATGGGAAAAGTTTCCACTGCAGACTTGCCAAGTTTCACACAAAACTTGATGGCAATCCTTTGTTCCAAGGAGCGCTGCATTGCGGCTTGCACGGGAGACAAAAACGAGTTTCACGGAAAAGCCTTTCGTCACTCTCAGGAAGTTCGGAGACGACTAAGCGACCGCGGGTTCATAAGCTGACTTCCCCCTCCACCGAGCCCAACCGGTCTGAGAGTGCTGCGACGTATAGTCACTTCACAATAAAATAACTGACATTACTTTTCGGACAAACCCTGTATACAAAGGACAACAATAGTAGTGCAACATAATGCTAAAGTAGATCACCACCATCTATTTTAATATAGAACACTGGTGAAATTACAATGACCACATGAAAACTGAATCACTTGGACTTAGGTGAGCTGTTACTTGCTCAATCATCACAGATACAAATTTGCATAGAAATTTAACTGAAACAAATATACCTTTTTATATACATGTCCAGAAAAATCCCTGACACAATAATTTATTTGTAATTAATTCATGACTGAGGAAACAGTGACAAAATAATTACACAGCTCGTATTTCCTTCCTTCAGTCACACTTATGAGGTTGCTCCTGTATTCGTTCTTGTGGAATGTGCGGTGTTGCGGCATGTCCTCAATATTGCTGGATTTCCAAATGGAGATGGGATATTTGCCCCAGGTAATCTTATAATGTGATTAAAAGTATGTGACAATGGTTAATTCTTTTACCTGTAGTTATGGTGGTCATTGGACATTGTCCTTGTCTGAGCTACACTTAACATACACAGGTGTTCGGGTTCCTGTCCCATCCTCAAGTGATTGGTTGTCATACTAATAGGTTTTCTTGTTTTTATTCTCGAGATATCTGCCTAAACCTCTTGGAATGAAAAACTTGGCTGGTCTAATGATTAAAATACAAATTTTGTGTTCAAATTGTTATGGGTATTACCCAGTCATTACCACTAACCTTGAAAATAGATTAAAGAAAATAAACTTTTCTGTATGTTGGCAAGAAATCACCTGAAAATGGGAGAAGAGCGAAAGCCAGAAAAATTGTGTACACAATTTTAGATATCTCTCAGACAGTAGATATTGTCCCATGCAGCTGTAGTGTAGTTGTAAAGTATACATAGTACAATTAATAATTTCATGGATTGGCCGCATAGTGACCCCGTTATGCAATACAGCGGATATGTGGAGCCATGAGATGGTGCTGTGTCCGTTCTTCTGTTGTCACAGCAAGAAGCAGTCGTGTGCATGCGGTGTATTCAGAAAGAAAGGTCACCGTTTTTCCACACCCTTCATACTCATCCGATCTCGCATAATATGATTTCCTTCTCTTTCCCCACTTGAAAGAAAAGCTACATGGGCATCTATTTCAGTCAGCCAAGGAAATTATCACTGCCACAAGGGAAACCATATGGGACCTTCCTGCAAATACCTTTTAGCAGTGTTTCTGGCAGCTATACCAATGTTGGTAGACTTGCATAGAGGCCAACAGTGAAAATTTTGAGGGAGGATGTGGGTATGTGTAAGTGTATAGGAATATCTTGCAATGTGGTGTGATAAAACCACATTCCACAAAATTATTGACTTGTCCCTTCATCAGGGCAGACTTTTCAAGCATTATCTCTCTTTGCACTTCAGGTAAAACAAAGATCATCTAAAATACTTAGTCCATTTCTCATTGTATGCCACCACTAATTTACACTGTAATATTAGAACCTGAAGACTTGCATTTGACAAAAACAAACCCACCATTGTACTTAATCCTTACCCAATTCAGTACAACACACATTATTTCCTAGAAATCCATTTGCATATTATTCAACAGAAAAATTTTGTTACTTATTTTCCCCATCCATTTAACCACCTTGATCTGACTGCATTATTATCAGAAGATGTGTATAAATGATAAAATCCCTTTTTACATAGTTTCCTTCTATTTCCTGCTCAGTTCATTCCCCTTAGGTTCAGATATTTCCCATAGCACTTTATTATCACCCAATCTGCACAACATGCAATAAAATAATGCATACAGAATGTCTGTCTGTGTAGCTGTCAGCACGTTTCATCTCAAGAACCACTGGATCAATTTTTTTTTTAAATTCTGCATGAATATTATGCCACTAGAGGCCACTTCAGATGTATGTTTTAGCACTTTCTTCCTTAAAGAAAAAATGTGTATATGAGATCATCATGTTGTGTCTATGTAACCTCCATTTCAGCTTATGAATTAATTGACCGATTTTCAGGAAAGTTTATATACTCGTAAATATATGCTATTAGAAGTTACTCCAGCACTGTAATTTTCACTTTCTTACAACGTGAAGTAACAGCATGACAGACAAGCAAACTTGTGAGGTGGACATGCCAGTTATGGTCCTGAAGTGATGTATGGTAACAGATCTTGAAATGTATGAAACTTTTGTTAAGTCATTTTATAGACTATGTAATAAGCTAGGAATGTGAAACTGAGTATGGAGGTAGACCGTAAACATATATTCTTTGCAAGTCAACAATTCCACACTTGTAGAACTATGGTGCCATGTAAATAACAATAGGAAGAATACAGCCATAGTGATAAAAATACTAGTGGTAACCACAGTAAATATGGAACAAAGTTCAGAACCTTCTTAAATCTGCATACACTTGAAGTGAATCCAGTATGACGGGTACAAAGAACACATGTGGAAATTGTATGCACTTCAGTATGGGTCATTTCCTTTCCAGGCTTGTTCAGAACAAAAGAGGCTCTGGCAGTCACACATAAGAAGTTTATCTTTCCATTATTTCCTCTCTTCTAATGACAAATTTATAATTATCCTTTCTTATTCATTTGTTTTTTACCGACACCATGCTCATCCTTAGAAAATCTTTAGATATGTGTCAAAAAGTCTGTTCAATTCTGAGATGCGAAAGAACACTTTATTGTGAGATATCCTTGCTTTTCACTTAACATGAAGTTGCCCATGACTGAGGATGCACCTTAAGATGGTGGAAAGGAGCTGTTGACTACAAAAAATTAGAGGAAACCAGATAAGTGAGAACTCACTGGGCTAGTATTGCTTGTTTTCCTGTTGCACACATATTCACCAATCAGAACACGGAATGCTCCATTGCTGTGTCATCTGGAACTGTAAATATCTGTCCCAGGCTGCTTTGTCTTGAAGACGTACAACCTTTCATGATATATTTCTGCTGACTGAATATACAAATAAGTATGAGACATCAGGGTGTTCATAATATGCAAACAGACACCTATGCCAGCCACCCTTTGTTGTATGTATCCTTCAAGAATTAATTTTTCAAAGACCACAATTGAAATATGAAGCCAACACAGAGCCTGATGTCAAGATGATCTACAATGGGCAAAGTCCACAGCTAAGAACTGCTACTGCTGCTTTTTTTTAAAGATGAAGGCAGCCAAATTTAATTTTCCAAGATGTCACCACCAAAAAGTTTAAATAAGATTATTAGATTTAAGTCTGAACATCCATGTCATAACTGATTCAATAGCATTGGCAACTCATTGAGAGTTTCTTTATTGTTAGTGCAGGTGGTAGCATGTCCAACATGTATGGCATGGTGTTGGCCAGATACAAAGCCGTTCCTGACTCAAAGATGAAGGGCCTATCAGGGCTGCCTCCACTTGTGGCATTCACTTCTGAAGATGTAAGTCATGTCCATGTTTTGTCTAATTACAGCATTACTGTTTCCACCTTCATCTTCTTACAGTAGCAATTCATGGTTGTTAACAAATTTAAAGTCTTTTATTCTTGAAACTGAAACAAGTTCAGGCAATCACCTATTGGTGATAACTTGAGGTAAAAAGTTACTATTTACAATGACTTTGTATTAATGTAAGGTTTCTGATAGGATGCTCATGAAGAGTATGTCTTCTGAGGTGTGACTGTGTAGTCTGCTAGAAGTTTACTTACTCCATCATCAGGGTCAAACAGTAAACCAAGCAAGCAGCAAGTAGAGTTGTTACATCCCAGAATATACATAGTATTCTTCATAGTCACTGCTCACCCTCAATAATGTAAAATTATATTTAAAATGTTGACAGTTATTGTTATTGTTACTACCACCACCACTACTATTATCAATACTACTGCTACTGCCACTACTATCATCACAACTGATGCTACTGCCACTACCACTGCCACCACTACTGTCACTACCACCACAACTACCATTGATACTACTACTACCACCACTACTACTACTACTACTACTGCTGCTGCTGCTGCTGCTGCTGCTACCGCTATGTAATCATGAACAGCACCAACAATAACAGTTCTATCTTCTGGGGATATAATGCTGTGTAGTGCTTTGAAAGTCAACCGGCATTAGAGACAAATTTGTCACCTCTATCTTCAGAATAGGGTACGCGATAGCATAGTTAGTTGAGACACTATACTAGAAGACAGAATATTATATTTAAGATATTATATTTAAGCATCCTGTTGCACTCTACACGATAAATGATACAAACTCCGTCCTAAGTGCAAACAATATACATTTATATGTATTTGATCTTGCTCTTTCTACACTACATGTTTCGGCCTCTATCGGCCATCATCAGGTGTATACTCTTAACGTTGCTGCCACACTGAACCCAGTGTACCCATTTATCGTAGAAGACAGAAGGTCAAGAGTTCGTTTTCTGATGAGGTTACTGGATTTTTTTATTGACTTAATCCTTTCAGCTTCACTATGGCCCTGGGGTCGACTCAACCTCTAACAGAAAAGAGTACCAGGAATCTCCTGGGGGGGGGGTAAGGGCAGCCACTGCATAAGGCTGACAACCTCACTGCCATCTGTGAGCCAACTGCCTAGAAAATGTGGGATCATTGACATCTCACAACCCTATGGGCCTCCACGGCTTGCCACAGGGATAGCTTTACCTTCCTTTTACCGACTTCAGAGTTGAAGAACAAGCAGGGCTCTGCTTGCTTATTGCTTGATGTTGGTTTCTTACTTGAATTATTTTTCTAACATGAAGATGGAGGCAATGTGTTCCTCTGCAGTATCTGTTGATTGACTTTCAACAGGCCACATGGCATTATATTGCTGATGATAGAAGTATTCATAACAACTGCTGTGAGATGCCTTCAATCCCACAAAAATAATAAGAGCTTAAGCAATCTGCTAGCCAGAGACAAGTTAATTTTGTGTGCTATCAATCAGAAATTCACAAGTATTAATCAAATGGACTTTGTTTTGTCTTTCTCAAATCGATGTTAAGACTGTATGTTGGCAGCTTTCCCTAACTAGTTCCTCTTGTCAGACATAAAGTAGTCAGATAATAGAGAATAAAAAGGATTTATATGCACACATGCAAAAAGAAAACAAATTCCAGTCTTTTTAAGAAATAAGTGTGATTTAAAATTTGATGTTATGTTGTTACTGGTTATCCTTATGTGGAAAGACTTTTTACAGATATTCAAACGGTACTATATAAATATGTTTTTATTTTACTCATTGTTAAGATGTTAAAAGTCAATAATTTATAATAATGATATCGATGGTCATGAGATGACGTTTTTAAAGAATTGGGAAGTAGGGTAAATGTTAAGTTTGGACATAGATTAATTTCTCAAGCACTGGTGATGATGATGATGATGATGATGATGATGATGATACTTCTAACTTGTATTCAGGAGGTACAGGATTTGAGGTTCTCACAAGAGTGGCTATAAAGGACCTTATCTTCTGGGGTGTATCCCAGAAGATACGGCTCTTCGCAAGGCACCCAGATCAAATCTCACCTAGATCACTGACCATCCTGACTGACATTTTTGCAGTTTTCTTCAGTCATTCTGGCCATGCTGGAATAGTACACTGAAATAGTCTTTATCAGCAGTCCTTTCAAATTCACTCAGTGTAATCATCCTCTTGTCATTTAACACTAAATACCAACTACGAGGGATACAGTGTTCATAACATATGCTGCATCCAGCCATTAATAACAACTATAACAATTACAATGACAGTAACAATAATAAGAATACTATGGGCCTCTTAAAATTATACTACAGAAGGTTAAACATAATATCTATAATGTCATGGCTTAGTAAGTAGGGTGCTATACTGCAGGCTTGACATCCAAAGAATAGGGATACTATTCCCATTGAGGGCCAAATTTTTCTTTTCATAACTGTATTCAGATTGGCTGCGGATGTCCATAAATTCTTCTGTTAAATGGTTACTGGGGGCTATTTTATGGGGGTAAGGCAGTTTTAGCATAAAGCTGATTACTCTTCTCCATCTCTATGTCAAGGTTACAGCTATGTGGAGCTATATATCCACTCTCTCATTCATCATCATGGCATGATGCTTAATTAAGTATAGGGACAATTTTACCTTTCCAAACATAATAGCTAAAACAAAACTGGCTTATATAGTCTAATTTGATCAACGATATCTACACCTATGCAGTACCTATTATCATTTATATAAATGAATTAGAAAATTATACAACAAGTGTGATTTTGGAAGACTGATTATTTGATTTCCAGCAGGGCAATGAAGTTTTCTCTTCTTCCCAGTGTTTAAACTGGCTCTGGTGCCCCCCCCAGCTTTCTATTCAAGAGGTGAAAGGAAATCATTTCCTGGTGTGAATTGGTTACGGTGTGACACTGACCACTTACTTCATCTAGTGCCAAGCTGTATCCCCACTCATCATATTCATCATGGGATGGCGCTTAATTAAGCACAAGAATACTTTTAGCTTTACATTGATCTTAACCTTATGCTCTGACATATATAACGATCCGAATTTAATGCCTCCTATTTTATTATGTTGACCCATGGCCTCAGAGACGGATGCTGGTGGTGTGGCAGTAGAAGTTGAATCTTCCCACGAATAGTTTCTGTTATTGCCGTGCGACAGATGGCAGCAGAGGGACAGTCTGGTAAAATGGCATACAAAGCATTGAACTTTATTTAAAGGAAAGTAGCTTGGAAATAGCTCCAGAAAATCGTCAACTGTGTATCTTCGATAAAAAAAAAGGGGCAACTGATGGAGAGTGGGAGATCACGGTACAAGGGGAAAAGGTTTCTTTAGTCAAATCAATTAAATTTTTGGGTCTTCGCTTAAAATCTAATCTAGACTGGGAGGATGAAATAAACGCAATAGTTAGGAAATGTGAAAACCTGATGAAAGTCGTGAATTGTGTGAAGCACACTTGGTGGGGAGCAGACCTTGTAATTTTAATGAGACTCTACAAGGCATTTATAAGGTCGAGGATGGAATATGGAGCATTTTTATTCCATAAACTTAAGAAGAAACAAGCACAGAAGCTTGAGAAGATCCAATATAGGGCAGTACGCAGAGCACTGGGCTACAGGAGTAGCAACCCGACCAATGTAATGCTAGCAGAATCCAAAGAAATCCCAATTTTTAGTAGATTCAAACAGTTGGGAAGAAACTGTGTGTCCACCCAACCATCCAATGATCCAGCTGCTGGAAGAATTATCAGCTCTACTTGATAATCCAGGGAGAGGAGAAAATGAACAACCACTTATCAGTGAATATTACAAAGGGGCAACCCCTCTCAGTCATATAATCCAATCAGGGAACTGTCCCCCGGCCTTCGACTACACACATGGAAGCCTCTTCTACGAGGCCAGGGTATCTTTCACTGAGGGAAGACAAATAAAGGAAGCAGATCACAACAAGGACTTCAACAAGATTTTCCATGAAAGAATGAGAACCAGCAAATGTTTCACCACAGACGGCTCAAAAATGGAGGACAAACCATTTGTAGGATTCCCATCGATAGATATAAAAGATCGTCGTAGTATGAGATTTAGGATATCTAAGATAGCGTCCATATTAACGGCGGAAGCATTAGCAATTGCCAAAACACCAGATATCATTGAAAAAATAGAATCGGAGCAAAACTTCATGATTTTCTCGGCCTTGGCAAGTGTGTTAAAAAGCATTAGTAACCCCACTATAATAAGCAACACATCGCACATCACACACACACATGCTAAAAGATAAAATAGAGAGACTGAATCGTGAGGAAAGAAATCCAGTTTTACTGGATCCTGGGACACTGTAGAGTTTAAGTTAATGAGAGGGCCGACTTGGAGGCAAAGTAAGCAATTAAAGAAGGCAGAGAAAGTCAATTACTATTACCAGTAGCAGATCTTATAACCCAGTGGAAAAAGAAAGGCAAAGAAGAACTTCACAGGTTTTTGTCAAAACACCAAACAGAACAGAGGAGAAAGCTACTTTGAAAGGTACTACAGGAATGGCTCGTCTCCGTGGTTCTGAGCAATAAAAATGAACTGCCATGCCTTCGTGTCAATAAACCATATGAGAGCGGGAAACACCAGTCTTAAAATAAGCCTAAACAGATTTAACATTGTGTCCAAGGCTGAATGCGAATGTCATGATGGGCTGCAAATGGAGGAACATATCTTCTGGGACTGTAAACAGTACGAGGACCAAAGGGCAACAGTGATGGACATCTTGTCTGAGAGCAGCAAAAAGCATTTCCCCAAAATCAGTTACAGAGCTCTTAAGGCTAGAAGAAAAAAGATTTCTGCAAGGTGTCTGTTACTTCATAAACAACATTCTTATATTTATATAAAATAGATATGTAAGAAAATTAAAAGAAGTAATTGAACTGTTTGTTTACTGTATACACACAGATTTAAGTCAAGATCGATATTAACAATCATGGGGCCACCGCTATTATAGAATAAGCTGTTTATTAGAATGTGCTACAGAAGGCCCAATGGGCATTGCCTAGGCCTCTTTTGTATTTACATTTTTTCTTACAATTAAAAAAAATGGCATGTGGTAGGAAGTGTATACGAAGCAGAGGTGTGTCATTGAATTTCTTCATGCAGAAACAGTTGCACCCATTGACATTCAAAGATGATTACTTGACGATTATGGAAACCAAACAGTGGATGTGAGCACAGTGACACAGTAGTTGGTGTGTTTCACCAGTGGCATCAGCAGTATGAGACACAGACCACGTTCCAGGTGGCCCTGAACAGCTGTCAGGCCACAAAATGGAGAGTGCCTCAAACTGCAGATTACAACCAGGGAACTGTGTATGGAAGTGAATGTCGGCTTCAATGCACTGGAAATGGTGCTGGAAACGTTGGAATAATGCCAAGTTTTTGCCAAGTGGGTCCTATGAATGCTCACACAGGAACACAAAGACCACCTAATGCAAGTCTTTCAGGACCTGCTGAACCACTATGAAGGTGAAGGTGACAGTTTCCTGGACCTCATCATTACTGGTGACAAGACATGTTGTCACCACTATGAGCCAGGATCAAAACTACAGTCAATGGAGTGGTGACATGCTAATTCCCCATCAAAGAAAAGTTCAAGACAGTCATCAGAGGGTAAAGTGATGTGCACTGTCATATGGGATAGGAAAGGCATGATCCTCCTGGGTTTTCTGGAACCTAGACAAACCATCAACTCTGACCACTACATCATGATTCTGACTAAGCTAAAGGCCCGAATTTCCAGAATCATGCCAGAGAAGAAGACAACCTTTCTCCTTCAACATGATAACGCCAGACCCCATACTGATTTGAATACCATATAGCATGTTGCAAAGTTTGGCTGGACTGTCCTACCAGGAGAGGATGCAGTGAATTTAAATGGTATGGAAAAGGGTTAAGTAAAGTATAAGAGTAGAGGTCATGCTCTCATAGATACCTGGCGGTTACTATATTGAGAGTAATATTCCTCACCCAGTGGCTCATGGCTTAATTTATGCCAATTAGCAAATTATAGTTAATGTTGTTTATGTGTTTCACTGTAGCCAGAAGACCTACTATTTGCAACTAGTGACTTTTTCATTTTTACCTCATAGATTGTCACTGGGTATCTTGATTATAACTACTTACATTTCCATTATATACAGATTAGAAATTTCTAACCAATTTTTTCTTCATGTGACCTTATGCACAGTTTTAGTTGTGAATGTCATCAATTGTGGGTGGTTATGGTGTCTTTAATCTTAGTACCACATATGTTTGTTAACTATATATTATTAACATATTTTCATATGATGAATGTATAAGGGGTGGGCCTTCGTGGCCCTTGCACCACGACCACAGTGATCTATTGTGCCTTTTGCATATGATAGTAATAAATTGGGTTTAAACTGCAGGGAACTGCACTATGTGAGACATATGGGGGACTGCTCAGAAAGTCTGCTGCTGCTCTATTTTTTCTCTGAATGTTGAGAATTATTGTATGAGGGCCCTTTGCAGACCTAGTAATTCATCATGTGTGTTGCAGATGACAAAGTTATATTAATGTAAACTGAAAGAATCTTACATTTGTCCTATAATAGGGGCACTACTCAGTGAAGAAGGCTGCACACTGGCTGGGCATTGGCACAGAAAATGTTGTTGCTGTAAAAACTGATTCTCATGGACGAATGATGCCAAGTAGACTTACTTGCTGCATTCAGCAGGCAATTGCTGAAGGAAAGAAGCCTTTCTTTGTTTCTGCTACTGCTGGAACTACTGTTTTAGGAGCATTTGACCCTCTTGAGCAGATTGCTGATATCTGTCACCAGTATGGTCTATGGCTCCATGTTGATGTAAGTCCAATAAATGTATCATCATTAGCTACACCTGCTAAAAGAAAACTAGTGTCATTCTTTTAAATATTTGAAAATCTGAAGGTTAAACCACAAGGATGCTTGAGAACAAAGTGCTGAGGAGAATGTTGGGATCTAAGAAAAGGGGAGTAACAAGAGGATGGAGAAAATCTTAAAGCAAACAGCAAGCCTAGTGAGCCCTGTCATGTTATCATATGTTACAGGCATGTTGGGGTGGAACACTCATGCTTTCCAAGAAACACTGTCATTGTCTCAAGGGTCTGGAGAGGTAAGAACTTCACAACCATAGTTTATTGTCGTTTAAACACTACAAGTATAATCAAGGAAATGAAAGTTATCCAATGGTGGACGTTCCCCCTCCTCTGGGTTTCCGAACTGTCCTGGCCTCAGCTACCAGCTTCTCACAGCAACAGCTCACAATGACTGAACCACAGCAGTCCTCTTAACTAACTCACAAACTAAACAACTAACTCCTCACTCCACTGACTGTCTAGCTCCTAATTTGTGCTTCTTATAACATCTTGGCACACACCACATAGAAAATGCCACTTCTCTGTTACAGTGCAGCTGTTGCATTTGTGTCTGTTGGTGGAACTATTATCTAGTGACAACTGTTGTATAGTCGCTTATTTCACGGCCATTGCCTAGGAATGGGTCTACATGCCACGGTATCAATTACATCTCAGATAATGTCCATCTCTTATCATATGCATATATACTTAAGAGTCATGATGTAAAAGATATTTCAATTCTTCTCACAGTCTCTGTTAAGTCATAGCACTGACAGAATTGTTGACTAACTTTATTTATCCTCCCGTACCCAGGGCAGATTCAGTTGCTTGGAACCCCCACAAGATGCTTGGAGCACCACTCCAATGTGCATTGTTTCTCACCAAAGAGAAGGTTAGTATTTAGAGAAATGTTAAGCCATTTACTACTGGTTCGGGAACTGAAATTTATATCCCTTTCCATGCTATGAATGACTTTTATATTCAATAATGCCAATAAAAGAAAACTTTTCTTTCTTTTTAGCCCTTTCCTCCTGAAGTAAGAAAGTAGTTCTTATGATCATCTGCTGCCTCCCCCACCCCACATTTGTCCACTTCAAATTTTGAAACAGATGTCTTCATGAGACATTGCATGAGTATTAAGCCACTGGAGACCATCACTCTGTCATTTCCTTACCATAATCAGAAACAGTATGGTGGACACAAAAGCCTACAGGATAGGTGAAACACCAAGGCTACTTAATTTAGGGTTCCAACATGATATGTGGTAATAGATCTTTGAAGAATATGCAATTGTTTTTGGTACTTTTTTCTGTAAAATGTAGAGAACAAACAAGGCAGCAGTGAAAACATTTTCATTGGCTTTCAGTCTGATGACAACAAATGATAAACAATTGTAACTAAGCATATGAAATCTGGTATAGATATACATCATAAACATACCTACATATGTATGAAACAATATTTATAAGTAGCAAATTACAAATATGGCGTTGGTGTGTAACTATGAGGCTGTATGTGACAATGTAATGCAGGAAGAATGTAGGAAAAACTCCATTGCCTGCAGTCCACAAGCAAACTATACCAACATACCATCACTTGTCAGCGAAGTTAGTGCCAACTTTTGCAGGTAGAGGGTGTCATGTGGTCAGTGCAACAAATCCCCATGGCTGGTAACATCAGCTTTCTAGACCAGAGCCACTATTTCCTTGAAATAGCTCCTCAATTATCCTCACAAGGCTCAGTGGACCCCATTCCAGACCCATTACTTCTCAGAAAATCTGGTAGAGCCGGGATTCGAACCCAGGACCTCTGGATCTGTGGCCAGGAACTCTGACCACTATACCACAGAGGCGGTCGTACTTAAGTAATACTTCACAAAAATTGAGTCCAGTGGTGGTGAGCTTTGGAATCAGTGGCACTGAACCTTTTGATTTTACTACCAGAGTCAGTTGATTATGATACTCATGTATTCCTTCTAGGCTGTTAAGATAAGCATAAGTGTACATAATATTGTTAAATGTTCTCAGGGGCTAATGCACCACTGCAACTCTGCATCAGCATCATACCTGTTTCAACAGGACAAGTTTTACGATGTCTCATTTGATACAGGGGACAAGAGTGTGCAGTGTGGGCGGAAGGTCGATGCATTCAAGCTTTGGCTTATGTGGAAGGCACATGGCAGCAATGGATTTGAGAGCCTCATCAACAATGCTATGGATGCTTCACGGTAGGACAGCCTTGCATTGTATGTCACTGTACAAATGAATGCTGTAATGTGCTGAAGTCAGCTCTTATGATTGAATATCAGAATATTGTGAACATTATAAAAGTAATATTGTTAACAACCTTTCCTAAGTGTCCTGACTTGAGAGAATTGGGGAGTCAGCACTGGTTTGGTGACTTCAATGAGAGATATACTGCAATAATTGAGTGATTCTTGGGTTAACTGACAAGGCTGTTTCAACTTTATATGTAGCATTAAACGAGATGAGAAGATCATTAATGACAAATGGTTACTGAGGCCCCATAGCTCGGGCACTTACACACCAGCTTCTCATCACAATCCTAGATCAGTATGTGTGGAACTTCAGGTGGAAAAAGTGACAATGGAGTAGGTTCTCTCAGAATACTTCAGTTTCCCTGCCAATTCCTATTCCATCAAATGCTCTGTTTATATTATATGTCAACCAGGGCTGGTACAAAAGGTCATTTCAAGCCTAAGTAGCAAGAGACTAAGTTTCTCTCAGAGTACTTCAGTTTCCCTGCCAATTCCTATTCCACCAAATGCTCCATTTACATTATCTGTCAACCAGGGCTGGTACAAACGGTCATTTCAGGCCCAAGTACCAAGAGACTAAATTTTCCCTTCATCCTAGCAATAGAAAGAAAAGCTACAGACCTGGAATAATATGGTTGAGGTATATTTTAAGGTGTTATCTCGATATTCATCTGTGCTGAAAACCACAAAATATCTAAGACGGAGTGATGCCAGTGCAACCAAGATTTAATTTGGTATATGTGTAGGACCAGTGCAAGTCTAAATGCGGCCCCTGGCAATGAGAAGTACATCCCCCACCCCCAGTTAAAACATATCAGCTTTCTTGAAACCATGCTAACAGATTTCCAGGCAACATTAATTAATTCATTCATTCATTCATTGTTTGAGGAGGTGGGTTTCCCCATGCACTTAGACCAGTTATTGGTCCATTGTGCATCCCCCTTTAATTTCTACTGTCCCCATACCCTACCGGTACTGGTGCCCGTTATCAGCCCCTTTCTTCCAGCGAGGTCGGCCCTCTACTGGCAGTGGTATCTGATAGTTAGTCCCTTTCTGTCAGCAAGGTCGGTCCTCATCTGGCAGTGGTACCTAATACTTTCCCCATCTACCGGAGGCATTGGAAACTACTTGGGCGGGAAAATTTGCCTAATTTAGCTCAGAGGTCTCCTAAAGACATGAGGTTCTTTTACTTGCTGTAAATCTACGACATGGGACCCACGGCTTAAAGTCCCTCCTGGAGGACTTGTTCCCTGAATTTTTTCGCCCTTAAAAATTCCACGACCTCTGCCGGGTTTGAACCTGCGTACCTTGAGTCATGAGGTGGGAACGTTACCCCTAGACTACAGAGGCCGCTTGCAGGCAACGTGATATTCATATTGTAATTCTTACAATAGTTTTATTTACATTATTCAGTAATGTAAATAACATTGATGTAAGAATTTCATATGTAGTTCATTTGTTTCTTGATAGATGTCAATGACTAATGGTTCCATTAACAGCTGAATTATTAAATAAGTTAAACCAAATAGAAAACATGAAAAAGAAATTTAAAAAAAGACTAATTTCCTTCAAATTTCTGTGTATTATGGTGGATAGGACAAAGGTTTACATAAAGAGGAAGTAATAGTAGGATGGATAAAACACACATTGAGTGGCTTCATAATTTTTACTCTCCACTTAATTGTTGGGGTGAGTCATTTAATCAGGATGAAATAAGTGGTATGCCGCACCGTTTGATAATATTAAATGGATCTTAGAAAATTAGGGTATGTGGTTGTTAACTGGATTTAACTGGATGAGGTTAAGATCTAATGATACTACTGCTGCTGTTGTTTCTACCTTGATGGATTATGCTCTCTGGCCTGTTCCAATTCAGAATTAATTCTGAAATTATGAATCTTATAGATAGTAATTAGGACTCCTTGGACTTGGGATGAAGCCATCACAAGGCCGCCACCTGCACAGGACAACATGAACACAGAATAAATGGAGACATACATCCATGCCTCAAATGTGATTTGAACCCACAATCCTGGTGTTTGAGAAGGCCAGGACAGTTCATGCCTTTGTAATGAACTACTAGTTACATAAAGAAATTCAAATTTCTTGACCAGCTGAATAACTATTAACTTTTTATGGATGATCTAGTACCATTCAGTAGGTCAGAAAAGCATACAGAAAGCATAAAATGTCTGAAACAAAACTGCTCGAGATGTTACAAGATGGACAGTGAAAATTTAAACAAACTGTGCCAGGTGTCCTGCATGTCATGTTATTTTAAACAGGATGACTTACAGTGTGTACTGTTGCACATTTTTTGGCTAATGCAGGTAGGAAGGCAACAGGCTATCTGGGTGCGTTAAAATATGAGACTCTCATTCAGCTGAAAGTGCTGGGACACAGGCATGACTACACACACACATTGTTCTCATTGCAGGTACTTCAAGGAGGCAATACAAGTACAGCCAGGGTTCAGACTAGTGCTGGATGAGTTTGAATGCACAAATGTCTGCTTCTGGTTCATCCCACCCAGTCTCAGGGGGCAGGAAGAGAATGATGAATGGTGGAATAAGATACACACAGTGAGTAACGTTAAAACAAAAACAGTGAATTGTACTGGCATGGAGCACACTGCTGTGTTCTTTCCCGAATCATTCCAATCCATAACTCTACAACATGTGTAGTTAAGTTACACTTTCATATATGTTTAAGAAAAAATTTAACATTCCTGTTATTTATTTATTTTTCTGTTTGTTTGGCAGAAGTGGTACTAAAATTACAGATACAGGCTGAAACTCCTAACTTCTTTCCCAGCATTGTCTTGCTCCATATTAACACACATTGATACTCCTTTACCAACTGATTTCATATTCCTTCATGTAGATATAAATGACATTAAAGATTTCTTCACCTGAATTGAGCCTTTTATGAGATTTAATAAGCAATAAGTGTTCCACGAAATTTATTTTGGTAGCAGCACTAAATGGATACAAGTTATTACAGAAAATCCAGATATAACTGCTGATTTGTAAGGAAAAGCCAGTAGATGATTGAAAGTTGCCAGCTGTAAAGCAGTTGATCCCGAATGCAACGATGAGCAGTATTATTTGACAACTAAATCTTCTTAAGCTTCCTGCTATTCACCTCCTCATCCAACAATCACTTTGCCATGTTGATAGCACACAGCTTATTTACTTATTTTCCTGCAAGCAAAAAATTGTAACTAGTAACTAATCCTGCAGGAGGCCATGGTTGCATTCTGTTGTTGTTTTTGCAGCTTTGGTTATGTGGATCTCACAGATTTTACTACCTTAAGTTTTCATATGAAAGACTAACTGTAAATTCTGGTCAAGCATATTCTGGAGGAGCTTAGAGAATCATAAGTCCTCAGATAGCATCCATTAGTCCAGGCCCTTGTTGTGTAAATCATATGTAAAATATTTTAAGTGATATTAGTTCCCATAATTTTAATGACTACAACTCTGTAACTCAGCTAAATCACTTTTCCATAGATTTTCCTTCCACTTGCCTATGGTACTTGATAAATGTCATGCATTCCACTCACAAGTCTGTTCTATGGCTCCAGCAGTCAGATCAAGTTGCCCCATTGTGGGTCTTAATGGAATCTGATGTGTATTCATGTCTACCCTACTTATTTGAACATTTAAGATTATCCCTCCCATTAAACATGTTAACATTTTATTTGTGTAAGATTAAATAAGATTGTGTGAATACATCTGTGCATGTGCATGTTATATGAATATGGCTGAAAGTGTGTAAGAAACCCCATCTAAATGCTGGCCATTTGGAATTCACAATAATTTCAAAGGTGACATTACTGAAACAGGACTGTAAAATAATTTTAGTGCTGGTACTAAACAGCAAGAATGCACAAAAAGTAGTGACTGAGGAAATGCAAAACTGAATGTAAAGACAATTTTGAATTGATTCAGTGTTTCATGAATCACTGTCACTATGATTCTCAAAGAGTCTAAAAGAAAAATGTGGTGAATTTTATTTGTTCTGGCCAGTATGTGACTCAAACAGTGGACTTTTAGATTCCCTGTTGACACATGTACAGTACAAAAGCATCATTTAGCCTGTCTGTCTGTACATTTGACATGTAGGCTTTAGCACAGATGAGCCCAGTGGGGTCTGAATCCTTCCCCATCCCACAGAGAACTGCATTTCTACGAAGAGACTAAGAGGAGTGAGATGTACAGTCACAAGTCACGACTTTTTGTTTAAAATATTGTCAACAGAGAATGAACACATAGTTGCTTAAAATAGGTGCACATGTAATGTAAAAAATAAACTCTTAATATGTGAACACTTTAGTGAAAAAACTATTTTCCCTCTCTTTGGAAATGAATTAACAAGAACCTTATGATTTACACTGTAGGTTGCACCAAAAATTAAGGAGAGGCTGATACTTTCTGGGACCTTAATGATTGGCTATCAACCCCTGCCTCACAAAGGACTCAGAAACTTCTTCCGTTTTGTGACATCGTGCCACCCACCACCAACATATGCAGATATGGATCATGTATGGCAAGAGATTGAAAGACTTGGAGCAGATTTGTGGTAAATCACAGAATTGGTGCAACTAATAAAGAAGAAGAGGAAAGTGGATGTAATTTATAATGGATGACTGCTTGACAAAAGAAATTCCTAAACAGATCTTGTTCATGGGAATTCCTGGAAATGTGCAGCCTGTCTTCCACTTCATGTGAATATGGCAGCCACATTTCTGACATAAATATCCAGCTTCTTGATATGTATTATGAAAATAAAGAGAAAGCTGGCACAGCAGTAATGCACCTGACTTGTATTTGGGAGGTACACATTTGAATCTCAGCTACACCAGCTATTTCTATGTTTTCCTTCTATTCTTCCAGGCAAATGCTAATACAGATATCTTAAAATAGGTCATGGCTCTGTACGTAGTGATCGCCCCATGTCATTTAAAGCTAAATACTCCCCACAGCTGAGTTGCCTTATAAACCAACTGCAAGAAATAGTAGTACTTCTTTTCTACCTAATGATGTCAAACACTACAGGGTGGGCCAGACTCAATTAGGCAGTTTTTGATCATTAATAACTAACAAATCCAACAACACACGGGATAATGGGAAAGTACCTTTTGTTGTCGATAGATGGCAACATCATACGGTATGCTGTGAATGAGGTCAATAACGAGGATGACTTCGACAGGCGACTTGAGTTCGCTGAGTTGATGCTGACCAAGTTTCAGGAGAGCCCTGACCTTTCCCAGAATATTGTCTGGACTGATGAGGCCAAATTTCACACATCAGGATCGGTCAACAGACACAACTGTGTGTTTTGGTGGCCAGAGAACCCAAGTGCCACCATTGAATATGATTTCCAGTCCCTGGGAGTGATGGTGTGGGGCGGCGTGACGTACAAAGGACTGATTGGCCCGTTCTTCCTTGAAGGGTGCGTCATGGGGGAAACCTACCTAAAGTTGCTGAGGGAAAGTGTCATCCCAGAACTTCAGAGAACTTTGATGAAGTGTGGTGGCAGCAAGATGGGGCCCCACCACACTTCTCCAATATTGTTTGGGCGTTCTTGCATCAAGTTTTTCCTCAACGCTGGATTGGCTGTCGATGGCCTGTGGAGTGACCAGCCCGATCACCCGACATCACCCCTCTAGACTTTTTCCTTTGGGGTTACCTCAAAGACAAGGTGTACGCTAATCCCATTGACAGTGTGAAACATCTGCGTGATGTGATTGTTCAGGAGTTCAATAAAGTTCCGGTGAATATGTGTAGAAAGCCATGTGAAAATGTTGCTTTGCGTCTGAAAGCCTGTGTTGACTTAGGTGGTGCTCAGGTTGACCAGCATCTTGAAAATCAATGACTTATGTGTGTGCAATTCAATTTTCGTAACCATTGTAATTGTTAACATTTATCAATAAAAATAACATCTAATCAAAAACTGCCTAATTGAGTCTTGCTCACCCTGTATATTCTTTGTAGGGTATGAGGTTCTCACAGTGGTGGTGGGGCACTCATCAGCCCTAGCCTCCTTCCAGATGTCCTGCTTTCTCCCCACTACCTCTCCTTCTTCATCCCACACTGCATGCCTATGACCAAGACACACGACTTCTCTCCCATACTCCTTGGTTCCAAGTCCAACACACCCTTACAACTTTTCCCATCTTTTCCTAAATCAGCACAAACTGCCCTTTTAAAGGCCATCCTGGTATCATGTTCTTGTCTCCTGTTGGTTCACTCAGTTGCGTGAGAGCCATCAGGCACTAATAGTTTCATTCTGTCCTGTGGGGGAGCCAATGGGAACTGAATTCTGCTCTTCCAGTTCTCTCTCTCTTCCCATGAAATCCAAAATTTTGAAAAGCTGACTGCTCTGCTTCCCACCTTGCTTTCACACTGGATTCTTTCTCAGCTTATTCTTTGACCCTGAAGATGGAGGCGATATGTTCCTTCAAAACATCAGTTGGCTTTCAGTGTTAATTCATTTGTAGTTTATTTAATGATTGTCACTCACTCAAGACTATTTACCATTGAATAATAGATAATGGTGCATAACAAATTGGAAAGCATGTGGAGGGAACTGGTCATGGCTTAAGGCACTACCCTAGCAATTGCCAGAAATAACTGATGAAAACCATGTAAAATCTCAGGATAAGTGGTGTATTGGCCCAGGTTCGGATCATCTGCATACGATGGCAGATTTTGTCACAAAATTAAGTAATGAATCATGGGACAATGTATTTGACAGCAATAATATTGATTCTAAATTTAATTGCTTTCTGAACACATACTTGAGGATCTTTTATTCAAGCTTTCCCTTAAAAATAGTCAAAAATGAAAATAAAAACAAATCCACCTGGATAACAATTGGAATAAAAACTTCATGTAAACACAAAAGACAACTATATTTGGCCAGTAGGGACAGTAATGATCCAAGACTAAAAAGTCACTACAAAATGTACTGTAAAATTTTGTCAAAAGTCATTAAAGAAGCCAAACAGAATAACTATAACAGCCAAATTCTAAAATCAAACAATAAAATTAAAACCACCTGGGATATT